AACAGAGCGTCAGAGACAAAGAAAGAGACAGAAAATGAAAGAAACAAAGAGACAAATAGAAAGAGACAGAGAAATAGAGAAACAGAAAAAGAGAGAGACAGAGAAAGAGACAGAGAGAGAAAAAAAGACAGAGACAAAGAGAGACAGAGAGAGATAGAGACAGAGAAAGAGAGACAGAGATAGAGAAAGAATGACAGACAGAGACAGAGAGAAACAGAGAAAGAGACAGAGAGTGGGAGGGAGTATTTTCACTACTCCATGATTGTGAGATCAGGGGTGGTGTTTGACTGTGTGGGATGGTGACAAATGAAAGCCTGCCTCTACCAGGACAGTTAGGTTCCTTGGGAAGAGTACATGTATAAACTTACCCATTAGAGCATTGGCAAGCATTTCGATCTATGGAGCTTGGCCTGAAAGTCTTGCCTAAGAGGGGGGCTGTAGGTTGGGGAGCTGCTACGCTGTGATTTGCCATCTATCTGTTTCGTGCAGTAAAGATACGTAAAACCATCATGTGAATGTGTTTTCTTCTGGGTCATACAGAGTGAGGGTGGAAGTAAGAATGTGAATGGAAAATGAGATGTGAACTATACCAAAGCCATATTTGGAGATTTCCTGAGGTAAATTGCAGATAAGGCCAAAATATGAGCCAATATTGTGGTATGTTTACAAAAATATTACATGTAAATAGTAATAGCTAACATTCTTCTAGTACTTACTATGTGCCAGGCACTGTACTAAGCACTTTACAATTATTATCTCATTTCATCCTTACAACACCCCTGGGGGCAGGGTATGTGCTATTATTATCCCCATTTTATGGCTGGGGAAACTGAGGCAAGCAGAGTGACTTGCCCAACCTCACACAGCCAGGAATTTGAGGAGGGACTTGAATTCATGTCTTTCTGACTCTGGGCCCAGTGCTTTATCTACTGCATCACATAGATGCCTTAGTTAAATCTTTTACATTTTTGAAAACCCTAGACCTTGTGTAAAATGGGATCCTTCTAGTGTCAAGCAGTATTATATATTTACAGGACTTTGTAAACTTTAAGACAACATATATATATGTCAGTAATTATTTAATGGGGGCAGCCAGATAGCACAGTGGATAGAGTACTGACCCTGTAGTCAGGAAAATCTGAATTCAAATTGGGCCTCAGACACTTACTAGCTGGGTAAGTCATTTATCCTGTTTGCCTCAGATTCCACATCTGTAAAATGAACTGGAGAAAGAAATGGCAAACCACTACAGTATCTTTGCCAAGAAAACTCCAAATGGAGTCACAAAGAGTCAGACACAACTGAAATGACTCAACAGAACAAAATTATTTAATGAGCATTTTTTACCTCCAGAACTGGATACAGTCCTGAGCTGTTGAGAGCTGCTGGAAACAATATCAATCCATGTTGCATAACCTAATTTGGGTCCTCACTGCTCTGTGGCAATTCATCTCTGACTGTCTGTTTCCCACATGGCCCACAACGGGCTCTCTAAGCTTCTCCTCTGTTTAAAGGGCTGACGTCATCCTCACTCCCCTCTTGAAGAGCCAGGCATCAAGGTGCCAGGAAACGAGAGCTGTATTTGGAGTCAGCAGACCCGGATCTAAAACTCCAGCTACACTACTCACTACTTATATGACCTTGGTCAAATCATCTATCTCTCTGGGCCATCCTCATCTGCAAATCAGTCATTCAAATGATGTCTAGAGTTCCTTCCAGCCCCATGCCTGTGATGAGGACCCATGACTCCTATATCTTTACTTGCAGCAATAATCTCTTTGCTGAGTTTAGGTCATCTCTGTCTGTTCTAAACAAACCTAAATGCCTAAAAGTGACTTCATCATCTTTTCTCCCTCCATGCCCCTAACCTACTCCTCTTCTCTATTTCATATCTCTTTTGATTGTACCCTATCCTCTTAGGACAATTCAGGTCCAATGCCTATTGACTCTTCCCAGTCTCTCCTTACATCCAATCTGATGCAAAATCCAGTCCTAGAGACACGCATATTTGGTGATCCTGCTTCCTGGCTTGTGTAATGAGGAGGGAACCCTGTACCTCTCCACTTCAGAGCATGTGTTGTTCAGTCATTTTTCAGTCATGTCTAACTCTTTGTGACCCCATTTTTTGGTTTTCCTGGCAAAGACACTTGTGTGATTTGCCATTTCCTTCTCTAGCTCATTTTACAGATGAGGAAACTGAGACTAACAGGGTTAAGTGACTTGCCCAGGGTCACATAGTTAATAAACGTCAGAGGCTGGATTTGAACTCAGAAAGATGAGTCTTCCTGGCTACAGGTCAGCACTCTATCCACCGTGCAGTATGTGTATTGGTATCCTAGGGCTATTTCCAGTCTGATAAATTTTTATCTTTGTATAGGTTGCTGGGCCAGAAGTGGCTTGTATGCAAAAGGCATACAAAAAGCCTCTTTCACCTTTGGTTGCATTTGAAAGACAGACAGACAGACTGACTGACAAGGACAGAAAAAGTGAAAGAGACAGAGAAAGAGAAAGGGAGAGACAGAATGAAGAAGAAAACCTCGGGGTGGGGGGAGGAAAGCTAGGGTCAGCAGCTTACTCTTCCCACTCAGGTCGTCTGAAGGCTTGTCATGATCGAATGAGATAATACGAGTGAAAGTGTGGTACGTGGCATGCAGCAGATGTTTGTTCCCCTCCCTCCCTGTGTGTCTGTGGTCCTGCTGCTGTTACTGCCCCGTTGGGTCTAGAAGATGAAGTGCCCTAGGGCTGTGACTCTGTGAGCTTCAAAAAGCCAGCGGAGCATCGAGGGTCTGGGAACTGAGGTCCACACCAGAGTTTGCAAGCAGCCCATCCCAGGGAAGAGTGTAGCCCCAAATGACCTACTTGACCAGCCGGGCAGTGGTTCTACCCTGCCATGTTGATTTCTGCAATCGAGAGAATGACTTTTTCCATAGAATGTATATCATTTGGGAGTCAACTTGGTGGGGTGAATGCTTTGGAGCTACTGTTCTCCCCAGGCACCAAGGAGGCAGAGGGGAGAGTGTGTCCCCAGGTTGCTGGAATGGTTTGTACTTCTGTTCTTACTATGTTTTCTCAGTAACTACCCCTTTTGTGAAAATTTAATTGATGGGAAAGAGGAGAGATGGATGAAAGAGAAGAGAATAAGCATTTATATACCACCTGCTATATACCAGGCACTGTGCTAAGTGCTTTACAAATACTATCTCCTTTAATCCTCACAATGATCCTGGGAGGTAGGTGCTATTATTATCCCCATTTTACAGTTGAGAAAACTGAGGCAAACAGAGATTAAGTGACTTGCCCAAGGTGACACAGCTGCTAAGTGTCTGAGGCCAGATTTTAATTTAGGTCTTCTTAAGGCCCAGCATTCTATCCACCTAGCTGCCTTTAATTGATATTAATTGATTAAATGATAGTGAAGTACTAATCACTAGATAAGATATGTAGGAGATGGTGATTGATTAGCGAGAACACCCTGGAATAGGGGCTTGAGCAAATAGCATTACAAAGATCCAGTTTGGTCCATCAGTATTATCTCTAGAACCCTGAATGGAAGATGAAGCCAGTCTTACTCTGGAGACCCAACTTGTTTGTGTGAGTGGAAGTTGGGACAGGGTCCATATGTCTAACAGGGTGGGGAGATCAGGCCACTGGGGCTCGCTTTCTCTACTCCTCCCTGAAGCTTATATAGTGATCACTGCTTCCTTACTTGAACACCTCCAGGAAAAAAGAGGTTGCCCCTGTAGGAGGGTGTATCCAGTTCTGGCTCAACAGCCAATCAAAAAGGCATAAAGTGTGGGGACTTTAGCTGTTGTTCAGTTGTTTCAGTCATGTCTGACTCTTCATGACTCCATTTGGTGTTTTCTTGGCAAATATACTAGAGTGGTTTGCCATTCCTTCTCCAGCTCATTTTACAGATGAAGAAACTGAGGCAAAAAGGATTAAGCCACTTGCCCAGGGTGTCTGAGGCCAGATTTGAACTCATGAAGATGAGTCTTCCTCTATCCACTGTGCGACCTAGCTGCCTATGTGGGCTAGACATAGTCATAGAGTACCTGTGCATTCTCTCAAGTGGAGATCAGGGCCTTCCATCACACATTCCCAGAAGCAGGCTAACCAAACAGTGTCACTACTCAATAAGTATCATTTCTCTGAACCTCAGTTTCTTCTTCTGTAAAAACTATAGGGTTGGACTATGTGGTCTCAGAGGTTCTTTCTAGCCCTCAATCCATTGTCTTATGATTCCCTTAACTTCAGTTTATGCCTTTTCTACCTGGTTCCCCAATGCAATACAACATTTTTTTCTTTGAACTGTTTTTGTTTGCAAATTTAAGTAACTTCACATGCATGTTGTACTCCCTGCTAACAACTGTTTATAACTAGAAGGAATGTCTTCTGTGTCTTTGGGCACCTTGGCGTTTCTACCATAGGAACTGATACAAGCATAACACTTAATGGGACCTGCACTATGTACCTCACCCAGGTTTTCTGGGGCTCAAAGCCATAAAAGGCTTTGAAAATGGTAGAGTTCGTAAAAAATAACTCGCATCCACATAAAGCTTTGTGGTTTGTAAAATACATTCTACAGAACAAGTCTGCAAAGCTAATGGCCTGGGGATTCTTATTATCTCTATTAAAAAAGATAACAAAACTGTTACTCAGTGAGCCAAGTTCATTTAATCAAAAATTAAAGGGATAAATGGTCTGTAAGGGGTCTGCTGGCTCTAAAGAACTCGAGTTCTAATATTCTTTGGTCTGTCTGAGGTCATTCAGCTAGTAAAGGTCAGAGTTGGGCAATCAACTTTAGCAAAGCCTGTTATTGTACCTATATCTCAAAAAGTGTAGGGGGCTGACTTGTGACTGTTCTCTTTGATTATTCCTGCTCAAATGATTCAAATTGATTCCTGAGATCACTTCCAAAATTCTTTTGTCTCCGCCTGACTCTGAGGTGACCTTGTTAAAGGAACACAGATTAGATACCTACCAGGCTAGAACTAGCAATGGCCTACGCATCCATCTCCTGAGTCCTCGCCTACATCGGCACGGAGATGGAGTAGACAAGGTTTTGGCATCACTGTACTATGGGTTGAATGAATGCTTTTTGCCACAGCCTAAGGAAGAATGCCTTTAAAGGCATGGAGCGGGGTGCCACCCGCATGCTGAAGAAATCATGGATCCCGGAAGTATGGAATATTGTTTTTTGACCCTTGGGCATTTTGTCCTTGAAAAATGCCAAAAGATAACATTGATACGATGGTAGCACTGAGTGGAAAAATAAATAGGAGGAGTTTTGTATGCCCAGACCACAGAGCCATTACCTGCTGGTACAATTTTAACTGATTGGACCGCGCTGAAGTGAGACTTACTTTTTTTTAAACAAATCCTTTCTTCATTTTTCCACAAGCCTGTTGCTGACTCCCGGAGACACAAGCCCTGCTGGACGGCCTGAGGAGACCGCGCTCAGATGGCATCTTACCTGATTGTCTTGATGGCACTCCTGTGTTTTGACCAAGGTGAGATGTCCTGAAGTTTCCTACTAAGAAATGAGTTTTCCTGCGATTGTGTAAGAAGTAATTCTGATGGCTGGAAAACCCCTCTCATGTCTCTCTGATCAACTAAGCTCCTTTGGAGGGAGGGAGGGAGTTGCCCTGTGCTTCCTCAGGATGCCTAGAGCAGCTACAGAAAAGAAGGATGTTGACGACTCTAATTTTCAGAGAAGGTGCCAACCTGTATTGGTAGAGTGCATTTCCTCCCCTGGGAGGTCCAGTCTTCATATCTTTTATCCTTACTATGAATGACATGGAAAATAAAACCATCAACTTGGAAGGCAGTAGGGGACAGGCAACAGAACATGGATTCTGAAGTCAGAGGATCTGAGTTTAAATCCTCCAAAGCTACCAGGCAAGCCCTTCATCCTCTCTGAACCTCAGATTCCTCATCTACAAAATGAGGTGATTGGAGTAGATGGCTTCAAGGTCTTTTTCCAGCATTAACTTATGACTGTACATTGGGAGCCAGCAGGGACTTGAGGTTGTCTTCTCCAGTCTCTTCATTTTAAAGGTGAGGAAACTGAGACTCTGGAGAGTTGTGACTTGCCCAAGGTCACATAGAATGTAGGATTTGAACCCAGGTCATCGGATTCCAGAGTCAGTGTTCTCTCCTTGTTATAATGCTGCCTGAGTCCATGGTCCTGTTGTCTATAATGTTGATAGTAATGCTCACAGGGACAAGAAACAAACCTGTGATTTCACTGATAGAGACAACTCCCAAGTGATAAAATTCCTTCCACCAGTGCAGGATGGCACCTTCACTGAAACTTAGAGAATTGTTTACATGCTGCAAAATCATGGAATTTGAAGGGTGAAATGGATTTCAGCAGCCCACTTAGTATTCACAAATGAAACCCCCACCATAACCTACCAGAGGGGTGACTGTCCTGCCTCTGCTTAAGAGACCTCCAAGGAGGGTGAGTCCATTTCCTCTTACTGAAATCAAATCCACCAACTCCTTTATTTTCAGAGACGTAGTACATTGGGTAGAATGCTGGTCCTGGAGTCAGGAAGGGCTCAAATCTGGCCTCAGACACTAGCTGTGTGACCTTGGGCAGACCCCTCAACCACTGAATGCCTCCGTTTCTTCAGCTGTAAAATGGGGCTAATATTAGCACCTACCTCCCAGCGTTGTTGTGAGGATCAAGTAATGTGCTTAGCATGTTGCCTGGCACATAGTAAGGACTATAGCTATTAGCCATTATTAATGGATATTTATTCTTTTCCCCCACCTACTCTTCTCCAAAGAGAATGTGGCAACTATCCTATTTAACTATAATGTCCTTGTGCTTTCTGATTTCATTAGTGACAATGTCCATAATGATAGATGGCTCAGTTAGCACAGTTGTATGTACATCATACATGTGCGTCAATGGACAGGCTCTCACATTGCAATCACCAACAGTTAATGTTTGTAAATTATCTAAAACCTGTGGTGCTTGGTACCCTCTTCCTCCCTTTTCCACCATTCTACTGCAATCCCCACAGAAGCAGAAAGATGAGGAACGAGACCGAGGACAATTCTGTAATTTTTGTTTGTTTGATTGGTTTATGGGTTGCTGTGGCTGAGGAATTCTGTCATAAGGTCATAGCCCTAGATCTGGGAAAGACCTCAGAGGTCACCCTGACAAGCTCTCCTATTTTACAGGTGAGAAAACTGAGGAAATTAAATTACTCATTCAAGGCCGTACAAGTAGAAAGCATCTGAGGAGGGATTAGCTTTGACTTCAGACCCAGTGTTCTTTCCACTGTCCTACACCAGCCTACCAAATGGTGATAAGCCTTTCTATCCTCAGCTAGACATCCTCACTTAGCAGCTCGCTCCATACACCAAACCTTGCTATCTTGATAGAACCTATCAGAGCTTATGCTCTGTTAGCATAGTTGTCAAGATCCCAGGGTCATCTTTCTTCCAGCCATGAAGAAGCAGCCAGATAGTAGATTAGATAGGTTGTTATTATTCAATAAATATTTGTGGAATGATTGAATAAGGAGGTAAAAACTAAAATGCTTCTAAGCAGAGATTCTTCACCTTTTGTTTTGTTTTGTTTTGTTTTATGGACCCCTTTGGCAGCCTGGAAGAGCCTATGGGCTCCTTCTCAGAATATTTTTTAAATGTGTAAAAGAAAATATATGGGATTGCAAAGGAAACCAATTACATTGAAATAAAGATGTAAAAAAAATTTCCATCCATAGTCATGAACCCCCTAAAAATCTATCCATAAGCCCCTTGAGTTAAGAACGCTTGCTTTAAAGCCTGGGAGGGGCCACTCATTTAGAATCAGAGAACCTAAGCTTTAATCGCAGACCCATTTCTACAGAACTTTAAGGTCTACGAAGTATTTTCCCAAGAACAACTGTGTGAAGGTGGGTAGTCATATGATTATTCAGAATCGGCATCAAACAACTTCATAGCAGAGCCCAGATATACTGATTCTAAGGAGAAAAGCTAGTTACTTCTTATAGCTTTCCTTGTAACATTCCAAGAAGGGATTTCAAGTTGAGTACTGATTCTGTGTTGGTTTTGTTTTTTAATTTTTATAAATTTTTTTTATATTTTGAGATTGGGTCTTTCTATCTCGCCTAGGCTGGGAGCTCAGGAGTCACAAACAGGCTTGATCTCTCTGCTGATGGGCATGGAAGCTTTGACCTCTTCTGTTCCTAATTTGGGCCAGTTCATCCCTCTTTAGGCAATCTGGTTCCCCTATCCCCCAGCCTTGCCTCCTTAGGGACTCAGCATAATAATGTTGGACTTAATGCAGACACTCAATCAGCTGTAGTCTAACTGTAGCTCCGAATTCCTCAACTCAAGCTATCGGCTAGCCTGTCTCTCTGGTTGTATAATGGTGATTACAGATGTGCACCATCACGCCTGGCTGCTCCTGTTTTATTTAGAATTCTGCTTCAAATTTACTCACGTAGCAGCATAGCGTTGGCTTTACACAGAACCTCTGTGAGATTCTATGGGGCCCACAGGATGTATCAGGGGGCCAGAGGGGTCTAAGAACCCTCTCTTTAAAGCCTCAGCCTCCTAGCTATTTAATTAAAATTTTCTCTTCCTGTCCATGGAAAGGACGGTGGCTGGGCCTAGGCAAATCAAGGGATCATAGAAATGCTGAGAAAGTATACAGAGCAATGAAGCACAACAACCATGTCCCCTCCCAGTCTCCAGCTGATTAAGGCCAAAATTTTGGAGTCTTTTTGGTGGAAAAGGGGTACCAGAAATGGTTGGAATAATTCTTCAGTCCTCTCCTTTATGCTATGGTGGTCAGATAAGATCATCATAGAATGATGACCCTGGAAGAAACTTCAGAGATAACATAGTCACGCCTCCTCATGTTACAGAAAAGGAAACTGAGACAGGAGCTCTGGGCTTCTTGCCCAGAGACAGGAAACAATTTCTCTCGCAGCTAGATTGGGGTGGGGGCGGGGAATGCAGCAGAACCCAGGCTTTCTACTTCACTGCCCAAAGTTTTTTCCACGTCACCCTGAGCCTGGACAATTACATATTCTGCTTTGTTGTTACTGAGTCATTCCAGTCATGCCTGACTCTCCATGACGCCATCTAGGGTTTTCTTGGCACAGATACTGAAGCAGTTTGCCATTTCCTTCTCCAGCTTGTTTTACAGAGGAGGAACTGAAGCAAACAGGGGTAAGTGACTTGCCCAGGATCACACAGTTAGTAAGTGTAAGTGTAAATAAGGAGGCAGATTTGAACTCAGGTCCTCCTGCCTCCCAAGCCAGTGCTCTATCCATGGTGCTACCTACTTGCCTTTTATTACATACTCTCTAAGAAGCCCAAAATGATGAGAACCTTCCACTCATAGTGAACTGTACTGATGTTTCTTCAATCAAACTACAGCTATTGAAATATTTATCATCTGAATGTTCTTGGCCCTACCCATCTTATCACTAAGCCAACAGTTCTTTAGTTGTTGTAGATTAAGGTTTTCTTTATCATGCTTTTTCGTTCTCCTGGCAGTTGAGATGCCTTGCACACAGTTCTTTCCAGCCTTCAAATTCAAAGGTTTGAGGGCTGCTCATGGAGAATGGTGTAGAAGAGATATTGTTTAAGTATAGGTTGGACTAGACGTGGCCTGTGAGGTTCTTTGATTCTGTGATACTGTACCAGGCACTGGGAGAGACACAAAGTTTGGATTGGACATTGTTCTCATCCTCACAGACATCTCAATCTAAGCAAGGGCACATGAACACAAAAATGAATAACAACAATGCACAATATACACGATATGTGCATCAGAGAGGTGCAGAACAAAATGTGATGTGAGATCCTCCAGAGAAAATCCAGTTATGGGGAGAGGGAGGGGGATCAGGAAAGGCATCCTAGAGGAAGGGGGCATGTGAATGGCCTTTAAAGGTGGATTGCAGTTCAGCAGCAGCCGGAGGGTGGGAGGGAAGAGTGTGAGCACAGACCCAGAGTCTAGAAAGCACAGGCTCTGTTCTGGGAACAGAGCGTGCTCCTGCTTGCCTGGAGACCTTGAAGAACCATTAAGACGATGCCTTTAGAAACCAAGGAATGACAGAACCACTCGCCTGTCCCAAGACGTCTTGCAGCAAAAACTGGCCTGACCCATTCCCAGCTTCAAAATATACAGTGTTATGTCCATTTCTTGGGCCACATGTTAGGAAGGATGCTAACCAATGACAGCATGTCCAGAAGAGGGCAGTCAGAAGGGGGAGGGGCCTAGAGACTGTACCCCACATCAGGAAAGGGCTCCACCTGGAGCAGGGAACAAAGCTCTGGCCTGGATGTAAGCCCCCAAGTGTCCCCGATTCCACCGCTTGCTAGCTATGTGATCACATAAGTTGCTCTTGGTCTCTGAACCTCATTTCCCTCCTCTGTAAAATGGGCATAACCATACTAGCTCTGCCTTTCTCATGAGGTAGCTCTGAGGAAAGCACTTTGTAAACCATAAAGGGCTTGAGAAATGCCAGCTTTTAATTTTTTGCAAGAAGTAGAGCTCCAGCTTCACTAAGCAGGTGTCCTAAAATCTATCAGTATCTTGGAATCAAAGGATGTTAGTATAGGGACCGTACAGATTTTAGGTCCATTGTCTCACCCAATGCAGAAATCCCTGACAAGTAGTTGTAACCTCTACTGTGACCTTCCAGGAATAGGAGGCTCACTACTGACTAAAGTCATCCATTTGATTGCTTTGATTACAAGAAATTGATTAGAGGATGAGAGGGAAAGAGGAAGGAGAGAGAGAAAGACAGGAGGGAGAGAGCAAGAGACAGAGAGAAAAGAGAAAGAAACAGAGACAAAGAAACAGACACACAGAGAAGAAAAAGACAGAGAGAAAGAAAGAGAAAGAGAGGAGGCAGGGAGAAAGAGACAAAGGGAGAAGATACATAGAGACAGACAGAGAGACAGACAGCACAGAGAGAGAAAGAAGAGACAGAAAGAGAGAGAGAAGAGAGACAGAGCCGGAGAGACAGCGAGAAAGAAAGATGGAGAGGAGACAGAGAGGGAGAGAGAAGAAAGAGAGAGAAAAGAAGAGAGAGAAGACAGAGGGGAGAGACAGAGAGAGAGAAGAGAGAGAGAAAGAAGAGAGAGAAAGAGAAACACAGACAGAGACAAAGAGGAGACAGAGAAAGAGACAGAGAGACAAAGACAGAGAGAAGATACACAGAGACAGACAGACAACACAAAGAGAGAAAGAAGAGACAGAGAGGGAGAGAGAAAAAGAAGAGAGAGAAGACGGGGGAGACAGAGAAACACGGAGAGAAGAGACAGAGAGAGAAAGAGAAAGAGAAACACAGAAAGAGAAGAGACAGAGAGAAGACAGACAGCACAGAGAGAGAAAGAAGAGACAGAGAGGGAGAAAGAAAGAGAGAGAAGACAGAGGGAGAAAGACAGAGACAAAGAAGAGACATAAAAAGAAGAGAGAAAGAAAGAGAAACACAAAGAGAATGAGAGGAGATGGAGAAAGAGACAGAGACAGATGGCACAGAGAGAGAAAGAAGAGACAGAAAAAGAAGAGAGAGAGAAAGAGAAACAGAGAGGAAGAGAGGAGACAGAGAAAGAGACAGACAGAGAGACAGATACAGAGAGAAGAGACACAGGCAGAGACAGACAGAGGAGACAGAGGAGAGAGAAAGAGAGAGAAGAGACACAGAAGCAGAGAGACAGTAAGAAAGAAAGACGGAGAGGAGATAGAGAGGGAGAAAGAAGAGAGAGAAGGAGAGCATGTGGGCTTGAAGGCTGTATACCACCAACAAACCTCCTTAAGAGCAAAGATTCTTTTCTTTCTGTGTTTTTTCCTTTAGCACTGGGCACAGTGTCTTGTACCCAGCAGTACTTCATGAATGCATTGAGATGGAGTGGCATCTGCCCTCCCTGTAACTTCCAACCTCTATTCCAGTTCCACCCTCTGGAGCTGAGCGGAGGAAGTTTAAACCTTCTTCCCCATGCCATCTGTTTAGATATTTGATCCCAGCTCTCCCTATCCCACCCAAAGTCCTTTCTCCTTCTGGCTAACCAGCCCTAGACCCCTCCGAGGACTGTCATGCAGCGTTCTCTCTGGTCATCCTTCTTTTGGAGGCACTCCTGTTTGTCACTGTCCTTTGGACCATGCTACATCCCAAGAGCACCAGTCATCCAGGAAACAAAAGCAACTTCAAGGGTCCTTTCTTCTGGGAGGGCACAAGAGCGTGGGGCCACAGTCTCTTCTCTAATTTGTCCTCCTGCTCAGGAAGGCAAGCACAGACATTCTTGGGGCTCTGTCCATGGAGGAGACAATGAGATGGTTCCAAACACAGCCCCTGCCTCACCTCTTTTCTGCTGACCCTTCCCTTCCCTGGCATGTGCAAATGAAGAGATTGCCACAGCCTCATTCAGGAGCACCATACCTGGAGTGTGGATCTTCCCATAGCCTATGAAACTTGCCGCATCATGGGTGGAAGAGTTCCACACAGGTCTGGGCAGCTCCATTCAGGCTGGGCACACCAGCAGTGGACCTGGGGCCTGGAATAGAGACGGCACTGGCTAGTTTAACACTCAGACATCCTGGCGGTGTGGCTGTCATGGTGGTCAGAGCCCTGGGTTCAGGCAGGAGAATTCCTTTACCAAGAGAATCTTGGCTCCAATCCTTTTTCCTGTCCTTCTTCAACCCACTGCTCTTAGTTCTGGGATCATGAAGAATAAATTGAGGCAGCCAGGTGGCACAATGGATAGAGCACCAGCCTAGAGTCAGGAGGACCTGAGTTCAAATCCAGCCTCAGACACATAACACTCACTAGCTGTGTGATCCTGGGCAAGTTACTTAACCCCATTGTAGCAAAAAAACCAAAAACAAACAAACAAAAAGAACAAATCTACTCCATCTTCCACACAACAGCCCTTCAGAGATTTGAAGACAGAAGTAACGTCTCCTACCCACTAAGTCTTCTCTTCTCCAGACTAAATACTCCCAGTTCTTTGAAGTAACGTCTGAGTGGAGTGATCTCCAGTTCTCTCACTGCCTGATCACCTTCCTCCATCTTGTCAGTGGTGCTTCTAAAATGTGGTGTCAAGATAGGGAAGAGGAACTGGATCTGTGATTTCATTGGCAGAAGGAACTCCCAGATGAGGAAACTCCCTCCAGCAATGTAGGTTGCATTTCTCAGAAACTTAAGAGTCTTACAGAATTCCTTAGAGCAGCAAAAGGCCTTTAAGTGACTTGTCCAGGGTCATGGAACCGATGTATATCAGTGGCAGGACTTAAATCCATGACTTCCTAGTTTGAAGGCCAGAGCTCTATCTACTACAACAAATTGCCTCTCATGGAGCTGAGAACTGAACATAATACTTCTGATATGGTCTGACCAGGGCCTGCCATTTAACCTTCCTCAGCCTCATTTCCTGAATCTGTGAGTGACAAAATTGGGCTAGGTGATCGCTAAGCTTCCTTCCAGCTTTAACCTTTAGTATTCTATGGTCTTTTCCAGCTTCGATATACTATGTTTTATATTTTATTTTTAAAAGTCCATTCTAAATCAAATATTTCAGGTTCTAAGGTCCGTTTTAAGGCTCGTTCTAATATTCTATTTTCATTTGGTTGACCAAAAAGCATTTATTTTTGTTTAATCATTTTTCTGTCCTGTTCAACTCTTCATGACCTCATTTGGGGTTTTCTTGGCAAGGATACTGGAGTGGTTTGCCATTTCCTTCTCCAGCTCATTTTACAGATGAGGATACTGAAACAAACAGGGTGAAGTAGTTTTCCCAGGGTCACTCAGCTAGTAAGTGTCTGAGGCTGGATTTGAATTCAGATCTTCCTGACTCCAGGCCTGGCCCTCTATCCACTGTTCCATCTAGCTGCCCCAAGCATTTATTACATACTTACTACATGCCAAGCATTGTGCTGAGGGTAAAAGAAGAGAATAAACATTTATTAAGCACCTACTATATGCCAGGCCCTCTAATAAATACTTTACAAATATTATCTGATTTGATCCTCACAACAATTCTGGGAGATACTATTACTACTACTACTACTACTACTACCACTACTACCACTGCTACCACTACTACTACTACTACTACTACTACTACTACTACCACTACTACCACTACTACCACTACTACTACTACTACTACTACTACTACTACTACTACTACTACTACTACTACTACTACTACTACTACTTCCAAACATTTATATTGTGCTTACTTTGTGACCACTGAATTGAAGAAGGCAGCTTTTCAGTCTGGTTTGGTTTTTCCCACAGGAAGTGCTCTGAAATGTTATACATGTGTGGGGGACAGCTGCCATGGAAAGGGCCAAAGGTCCACCAACTGTTCATCTTCCGATGCCTACTGCGAGACCATTGTGATAGCTGCTCATTTTGGTAAGTTTCTGCCATGATGAGGAGCAATGAAGAAGATCAATAAAAGCTCCCGTTTCTTTAGTATTTACAAAAAACAGACCAGTGAAGTAGGTAATGAGGATTATTGAGCACATTTTATAGAGGAGACAGATGAAGTTCAGCAAAGGCAAATGACTTGCCCAGGGTCACACAGCTAGTAATGGAAGGGACAGGATTTCAGCCTTGGCTTTCTGATTATTAATCTCTTGACCTTTCCACTGTAGGGAAGCTGTAGGACTTGCATTATTTGACTCATAAATGTGATGGACATAAATCAATGGGTATTTACCCTGTGCCAAGTGTGTGGGGGAGGGTGGAGAGTGAAGGAGAATATAGCCTCTGACCTCAAGGAGTTCAAAATCCAATTGAGGAAACATGACTCAAACAGGTAAAATGGAGGACCATCGAAGAGGTGTTCAGTTGTATGATACAAAGTCTAGGTGTTCAGAGGAGGAAGTGGAGAGAATGTTGCATGTAGAGGCTCATGTCTTGGGTTCAAAGCCCTACTCCTCTGCTTACTACCTTTGCGATCTTGGGCAAGCCACTTCACTTCTTGTGGGCCTCAGTTTCCTCATCTATAAAATGAGACGGGTGGACTTTGTGACCCTGAAGTTCCAGTCCACCTCTAGGATTTAGGATCCTAGGATCCTGAGATAGAAAACATTTCACAGATTTGCTGAGCCTCTAAAGATAGACGGACAGACAGACAGACAGATAGAAAGTTAAATGGGTAGATAGATGAAAAGATAGATGACTGAATAGTTGGATGGAGAGACAGAAAGATAGCTAAGTGATAAATGGATGGATAGAACGATGGTTAGATAGATGAATAGATGGATGACTAGAGTGAGAAAATGAGTGAATGAGTGAGGGAGTGAGGGAGCATTTACTTAGTCTTTACTATGTTCCAGGCACCGTGCTAAAAACTGGGAACGCAAGCAAAGGCAAGCAAGCAAATTCCTACCCTCAAGGAACTTATATTCTAATGTAATATTATTATATTAGTCTGAGGGGGAGACAGAGAGAAGACATATAAAGAGGAGTTGGAAAAGGAGTGTGTAGGTAGTGAGGGGAGGGAGATGAAAATGATGGCGGGGGTAGCATGCCGTGGAAGTCACTGGGAAGGTCAACAACCCTTTTCTTCAAGAATTGACTGCTTGCTCTTCTCTAAGCATGCATTCAGCCTGGGCAGAGACTGGAGCAAGCACTACCTTTCGCTCTTCCCCTCCTCCTCAGAGAACACTCTTCGCAGGGTGCATGCGTGATGCCTGGGCACACCCAGTCCCGGTTCTGTGCACGCCTATGACCTCTGCTGCTGAAGCTCCACGTGTTCGGCATGTCGGCCCCCTTGCCCTGTCCCCACCTCTTGACACCCACCCCATCCTTCAAAGCTGCAACGTCACTTCTGCTGGGATTTCTTCGCTAGTCCCCTGCACGGGGAGTTCTCCATCATTAGACCCTGTGGCATTATGGTGCTGTGATCATGCTATATTCCCTCTTACAGAGCTGCATTCTTATTAGCATTCTCTGGATCTGTGCACGCTTTGTGGAGAGGCGTTGGGCTTTAGCAGACAGAGTGCTAGACTTGCTCGTGACCTCGGCCTGCGTTTCGGCTCTGTCACATACTACTTGTGTGACCCTGAGCTCGTCACTCCATATCTGCATCTTAGTCTCTTGCCTGTGTGATAGGGATAGTATTTCTTGTGCTCTCACAAAACTGATGTGAAGCGTACTCTATAATGCCTTAAAGTGCTGTACAAATGTGGATTAATATAATTACTACTAGATCATAAACTCTTTGTGGGTAGAAACAGGGTTTTAGTTATCTTTGGCGTTCCCATAGGCCCAAGCACAGGACCCTGAACAGGGTAGGCATTTGACATGGTTTTTGAATGGATGAATGAACGACTTACTCTTATCAAAGAGCTAATCATTCATTCCTATAGATCATTCAGGCTCCTGGCTTCTCCTATGGCATAGCCGAAAGGGCATTGCACTGGGCGTCAGGAGACTGGTCTCTAGATTTAGTTCTGCTCTGATTCACTCCATGACTTTAGGCTAGTCTTACTGGCAAGATTTCTTTCTCAAAGACCAAGCCTTAAACCGGATTCATTCTGAATCTCACTGATTGGACAGCATAGGTCCCTGCCCAGGCACCACTTGATGGTTACTGTTGGGCCCTCCTGGCTCAGTGGGAATGTAAATAGTAACTGTTTCTCTTTTGGCCAGCAAGCCTGAGGGTCTTCCCCTCCCAGTTTGATTTTTTTTTTTCCTTATTAAAGGGGCCATCCCTTGACTCACTTCTTCAACAGGCCTATTCATTGAATGGGGATCGCCTCACTCAAAGTGAGAACTCAAAGTGAGACCTTAGGGGCAGCTAGGTTGTCGCAGTGGGTAGATCACTGACCCTAGAAAATCTGGCCTCAGACACTTGACACTTTATGAGCTGTGTGACCCTGGGCAAGTCACTTAATCCTGTTGCCTAGCAAAAAACAAAAAAACAAAGTGAGACCTTACTCTAAAAAGGCCAAGGTCTCCCACTGCATCCTGGGCCATCTCCAGTCATCCTAATCTATATCTTGCCACTAGACCTAGATGGCTCCTGAGGAGAAAGTAAGGCTAGTGACTTTGCACAGCCCTCCCTTGCTCAAATCCAATGCAGTGGAAGTCATGTTGTCATCTCTCTGACGTCACGGCCCTCTTCGAGAACAAAGGGCAAAATCACCACACACACAAAAGCCTTACTCTTCTCATCTGCAAAATGGAAGTGCTGACCTCCATGACGTCTAAGGTCCCTGCCAGCTTTGACATCCTAAGTTCTCTCAGCTCGGCCCCTCCCAGCTCTGATACACTGTTCTAAGGCCCCTCTAAGCTCTTACATTCTCTGTTCTAAGGTCCCAGCCCAAACATTCTGGAGGCTAAGGCACCTCTGGACTCTGACATTCTGTATTTTAAAACCATTCTGGCTCTGATCATCTGTTGTTCTGTTATCCTTGGCTCCTCCCTTTGGGGAATTTTTCCACCACAGCAGGGTAATTGAGTGAAAGGAGAATTTATGATCCTCAAATGAGTCAGAGGGCGTTGCTTGTTTTTGGTAACTGGTTTGGGGTGGGAGGGCCAGAACAGTAGTAACATTTGGATTACAGTAAGGTCCTTAATTTCTCCATGTGTTTTCCTGTTCACTCCTAGCTGCCCCATAGGGAAAATGTCCTTTAAGCCAGAGCTGTCCTCTCTGAGTGTCTCTCTATCTGGCTTACTAGGTGGGGCGGAAAGTGTGGCCAGTGCAGGGGTGTGCTGGAATCCATCACTACATTTTCTGTGTAAGCATTTACATCTTGGAAATCAGCAAATGCCACAGATTAAGGCTTGATTTATTGTTTTATTGATAGTCTAAACTTAAGAAAGTGACAGAGAAAACAATATGCATCATAATGCATACTAAACTTAAATGTGTGCCCTGGCTACATTTTCCATCCTTGGAAAGCAAGTTGTTAAACATTTATCAGCATGCCCCTGGATCAGTTCCAAAACTATCAGTCTACTTATATACCCAGTCATACAGAGTCCAAATATCCAGCACAAAAGTAAGACAAACAAACCTACGAAACAAAAACAAAAACCATTCCTTCTACTGACTTGGAGCCAACCAGCAGATTCGATTGGTTTTATTCCTGCCCCACCCTCCACCCCTTTAACTGCAAAAGCACTTAGTGTCCAGAGCACATAGTTGTGGCCTGGTAGAAATAGTGCTGACCTTCCAAGAGGCCTTGGATTGCCCTAACATTTCTGTGATAACTTGGCTAAGTCATTTTCCCTCCTCTGGGCCTCATTTTTCTCTTCTGAAGAATGAAGAGGTAGGGCTGGGTCTCTAATGTCCCTTCTATCTCTCATTTTTGATGACTCAGTTGTATTGCTTACTAAGTTATTCCTGCAAGTGAGTAATGTCTCCCCACCTAAAACTTGCTCACAGACACTTTCCTTACAATGGCCTTGTGGTAAGTAGTGAGAGAATCATCACACCCATGTTTCAGATGAGAAGACTGAGGCTCAGAGAGCTCAGGCTGAGTTGGTGTCGGAGCCAGGGCCTTTAATCTAGCTTAGGCCTTCTGACTCTAAGCCTGGTCCTCTTTCTACTAAACTATTAGAAAGCCCAAAGCCTGTTCAAAGGGGATTAGTTAAGTCAAGTCTTGTGCTAGAGGGACTGTTGATGTTACTTTCTTGCCTGTAAATCTCAAGGGCAGAGCTTGCTTTGTATGTCACTGAATCATAGAATCTGCTTCAGAAGGCAACTTAGGGGCCACTTTGTCCATCTGATACCTGAATAAGGACCTTCAGCAGCCTTCCCCATGAATGTCATCCAGCCTGTACTTAAAGAGCTCCAGGGAGGTCAGTCCTTTCTTCCTTCCTTCCTTCCTTCCTTCCTTCCTTCCTTCCTTCCTTCCTTCCTTCCTTCCTTCCTTCCTTCCTTCCTTCCTTCCTTCCTTCCCTTCTTTCTTTCTCTTTTTTCCTCCTTTCTTTCTCCTTAATAACTCAGTAACCTCCCTCACCTTTTCCCCATTTTCTTGCAGCCCAAGACAAGGAACTACATGCCTCAGCTTATAAACGGGCTTAAAGGATAGAAACCTGATGACAACTTTTAAGACTTCTCAAATACGCCTTTCCCCCAGGGAATTCAGACTATTTGCTGCCTGTTCGGCTTGTATCAATACATGTGGTTGGAGGGGAGGGTGGTAAAGATGGGCACTGAGAAAGAAGTCATTCTAATCTAAATAACCAGCTACTTCAGATACATGTGCTATTTTATCCAGAAAGATCCAGATCATTGCTTCTATCCTCCCTTGCTTTTCTGTTGTGTTAAGGGAAATGGCATACATGTGTATAGGTACATTTGTGTGTGCATGTGTGTATTTGTACATGCATGTGTGTATGTTTGTATTTATATATGCGTGTGTGTGTGTATGTATGTGTGTGCAATAACCATA